AAAAAGATATTATACCATGGAAGCCATGGTATAACTGCAACAATGTGAAATTATACCATGGAGTATGGGGATTTATACACAAATGCCTATAACATAGGGGCAATGGAAGTATCATAGGTTAACTATAGATAAATGTATACAGTCCTAACAGGAATATAGAGGTATTTAATGCAAAAAAAGGTCGTACATATATGTAGAACACCCCCACCTCAACTCCCTTTCTTCACTAAAATGTATTGATCAAAGCACAAATTTTTAAAAGCTACCGTAAAATTTAAAAAAAAAGTAAAATGCTTTTTTTTCACTTTATGTCTTTGAACAAATAACCCAGGGGCCTGCTCCCTGTGTGTAATAATTATTTATGAAAAATCATTTACGTTATACTAGGAATTAACTTAAAATATTACTTAAGAAAATTCAAAGATTAATTTTTAATTTCATTTGGGAAAAAACGGAGAGAATTAAACGGAACACACTGATTGGTGACATATCACGAGGCGGACTTTCTATTGTCGATGTTGAATGTAAACTAAAATCATTGAAAGCAGCGTGGATTCCATGATTACTAAATTCAAAAGGTTTACTGTTCGATATTTTAAATGATTTTTGTAAAAAACTTAATGTTGATATCTATTATCTTTTAAAGCTTTCATCAATAGGCGTAGATAGCTTAAAAAATATACATGTTCCTCTATTTTACAAAGAAGTTCTAAGTTGTTTTAATGAATGTAAAACTGAATTAAACTTTGATAAAAGATCTTCTGATGATATTTTGCAACAGCCAATCTGGAATAATCGTAATTTGGTCTATAAAGGAAAAGCTATTTTCTTTGACAATTGGATTAAATCTGGAATTTTATATATATATGAATTGTTTGATGACAAGGGTTGCATCAGACCACTTGAACATTTTTCCAATATAATTGACAAATCTAATTGGCTATGTGAGTACAGAATTCTTCTGTCAGCTACTAAGAATATTCGAAGAACACACAATTTTTCAAATGCAAGCAACATCAATAAACAAAATGTAATTAACTTCAACCTCCCTTTAGGGAACTTCAACATATCAGGAAAATCAAGTAATTTTTTCTACAAAAATCTTATTGAAAAAAAGTTTTGTAAACCCAGTTTTCAAGCCATATTGTCTAAAGATTTTGGAATATTTGAGGAGTCAAGTTGGAAAAATATTTATGAATGTAAGATTTTAGATATAAGAGATAAACACATAGCAGAATTTAGCTACAAACTATTGAATAATATATTATGTAACAATGCTTATGTGAGTAAGTGGAAAAAAGATATATCTCCTATGTGTATACATTGTAACAAAATAGAGAATGCAAAACATCTGATTTTTGAGTGTGATAATGTGTCTAATATATGGAATACTATAAGCAGTTTTTTATCATTTAAAATTCAGTGGAAACATATTGTTGTTGGATTTTTCCATGAAAAAAAAGATAAAACTAGATCTCTTAATTTACTTATTACGTATGTGGCATATAGAATTTATAAACATAAAATGTTATGTAGATTAGAGTCTTTAAGTGAAACTGAATTTAATTTATACAATCATGTAAAAAAATCAATTTGTTTCTACACTTCTGTATTACGCTTTCTATTTGTTAACACTGAGCTAAGGACTTTTGAAAATCTTTCAAAACTAATGTGAAAATTATATATTCTTGTATAAATACTACTGGGAAGGGACCCGTCTTCCCGTAGTGCTGTCAAAAGGGGGGAGCGAATGGACTGTGAAACGTATTGGTGGCTCCCTCGGTCGACAGCTACACTGAAATTATATCTATTTTATTTCATAATGTAAACTGTATAAATATATTTTTTGAAAATAATTGTGCTTTAATTTTTTGCTATATTATAACATCCTGCGTGATGTCATAGGGACAACAATATCATTGTTTAGAAGGAGCTTAGTCAGGGCCCCATCCCTGGCAGTTGCCTTATTTTTTTCTAGTAATGTTAGTATATATGTTGTTATAGATTAAGTCTTGGAAAATAAAATTGTTAAAAAAAAAAAAAAAAAAAAAAAAAACTTAAAATATTACACACTGCGAGCAGGCCCCTTGCAAATAACAATGAACATTAATCGATGTTTATTTGTAAATTTATAATCACAACTTACTTTCAATATATAGATATATTCACAAAGTTAATTCATTATGTTACCAATTACTTCAAAAATATTTCCATGACTATTCATGTTGATTGCCTCGATTTTCCTTAAGGTCGGTTTCTATGCCACCTGACTGTCTAGAACTTCCAATGAAGAGTAATATCGGACATAAACGGAAAGGGTTTTGATTTTTGATCAGTGATAAAGGCTTATTTTTTTAATATCACTTAAATCACATTTTGATTAGATAATCCATTGAAGGTGTATAAAGAAATAATTAAATTCTCGCGTTTCTCAGTTTCATTGAAAATGTCAAAATCTTAGATCCGCCAAATCGGAACCACCACCGTTTACCGAAAATGAATGTAGACTTTTAATTAAACTTGCAATAATTACTCTCTAAATGAATTCGGAATATAGTGAACGGGCATCACCTTTTACTTGGTGTATTCCTGAAGGAGTAGGTAAGAACTTTGGTGCGGCCGTTTCAGAGTTTATTTGCACAATGTATTAATTTATAAGTATTCGGAAATATCAATGGTTTTGAATATACCGTATCTATGTATTGAAAGTAAGTTGTGATCATTAACTTGCAAATATATGTCGATTAATAGCTATCGTTATTTGTTTCAATACTTAATGTGAACTTTAAGCGTTTTTAACATGTTTAATTTTTGTTTTTCACAAAAGCTTTTAAAAATGTATATTTCAGTGGTTTTTCTAAATACATTCTTTTATACAAATACAAGTATTTAAAGGTTAGAATTGAACTTCTTTCAGTACCATTTTTCAAACGGATAAAACTACGCCGCTCCAATGTTCAATGCCTACATATGTCTAGTGTTTGTGAAAAATAATTGGGGAGGTCTAAGCGAAAGAATAATGGGGATAGTATATCTAGATATCTTTTGATTATTTATGTCTGTTCCTAACCTAACTGCAGGATTTTGATGTATTTTGTCATGCTATAAGCTTGTATATTGAACTGTACGAAGAAAATCAAAGATTCTTTTTGGAATAGTTATATTACCAGCAAATAAAAAAAACTTCCCACACTTGCGCGGGATTTCATCTAGTTTTTAAATAAAAATGTTGTATATGTTTTCAAAGTGTTAGTCTAACGTTAACTGCATTACACGACTAAGGGGGTACCGACCCTCTATTCTAACTTTCGCAATTTTTCTTTAAAACTGCCCAAGGTTTATTTTCATCAAGAGCTAAAGCAACAGCTTCAATTGGAAAACAATATGAGGTATGAAGCACTGCTTATTTTCTCGGAAATGATTTTTATATCTGATCAAGATATGAAGAAATTTTAACACAGAGGGCAGAAAAAGTACTAATTATTAATCACAACATAAAATCAAAAATATGAACTGTATATGAGAATAATATATTGTGTCATATCTATCAAATTCATATTAGAAAACATAATAAAGCGCTACTTCCTACGTCAGAATTTCACAATGTACGTAGTTGTAAGAAAATAATATAATGTTTCCCTTAGATGTCAAATTCGATCAAATGTACTTCTCAAAGGTATCTATTGTGAAACTCTGATAATGAAAACTTGAGTGGTATACAGATTTAATTTTTTACTTGGAAGGTTATCTCTGTTATCAGAGGGTCGGTGCCCCTAAAGATAAAATTTATATAGTATTTGAATCATTGTAAAATATTCTCATATTTGAATTAAATGGGTCCTTTTTTATTCATCATGAAATTACTTATTTTCAATATAATTTAAAAGTTGAAAACAGAAATGAATTTTAATTTTTATGCTTATCAAGATTGCAGAGCAAAAAACCATACAACCAGAGAGGGAAACCTAGGTATTGCCAATAACCATGGGTTAATGATGTGTACCATAATGTACCCAGAGGTTTACACAGAGAAAGGTTCATCATGTTCTCACGTTCATGAGGATGCTGAATTTTACTGCAGGATATGCAGAAAAGATTTATGTGCTGCTTGTAAAGAGAAACATATGATAGACCTTGACACCAGATACCACGATATAGCAATTTCACGTTTTAAGTATGGCGTCTTCATGATTTCAGAGTTTTGTAAAAGACACAAAAACAGATACTTTAACAATTGGTGTTTCTCTTGTGAATTTCCAATCTGCACCGAGTGTGAAGAACACCGAAATCATAAAATATTGAATATTTTCCGAGCTTATCAAATGTGCAGATCTCAACAGGAAAACAGAATGGTTCAGATAAGAACTGAAATTATCTTCAAGAACCTTGCTTTACTTACAAAATTTAAATCCGATGTTAAAACCGGTGGGACAATTGATCAATCCGTTTCACCTTTCCTCCAGAAAATCATGACAAAAAGAGGTTGGAGACTGAAAAAAATGGTTGATTTAGTAGTGAATGATATCAGCGAATCAAAAAATATTAAACTGTTTCTGAAATCTAGATTAGAAGAGCAAAAAATAAATATTACTAACACAGAAATGTTTTTACACAAGTTGACACGGTTATTAGATACACCGGTACAATTTTTAATGTGCCTAAAGAAAACTCGGATCCCGAAGATTAAAGACAATCCTGTTCAAATAAAGATATTAGGAGAAATTAAATTCTTAAAGACAGGATCAAAAAGACAAATCAAAAATGAACTTTTTCTAGAAATGATGCATACACCTGTGTTAAAGAAATCTTTCACAGTGTATCGCACCGGAGGGGTTTTTCATATTTCTTGTATGACAGCAGACCAGATGTGGATCAGTGACTCCTATGGACATATCATCTTTAAAACCCAAACAGGTCCCCTTCTACATGTCGTGAAAAATGCATTAAGTTACACCGGAGGACACACCATAACTCATCACCGTGATCTAATTTACATAGACATGGGTAATAATATCAACAAATATTCTATAGGCAACGGAACACATAGTACTGTCATAGAGAACACTGACTTATGGAAACCACAGTGCGTGTGTTTTTCTTCTGATGGAGATCTACTGATTGGTATTATGATGTATGATAGTATTAAAAATATACATTCAGATGCTAGGGTACTTCGGTACGACAGTACCGGAAAAGAAACTCAGGTCATTGAACACGATAACACGGGTCAAAAATTGTATTGTCATCCTTTATATATCACAGAAAATCATAATGGGGATGTTATTGTTTCTGACTTGAAAAATTGTGTAGTGGTGACAGATTGTGAAGGATGGCGTCGCTTCTCGTACAAAGGACCTCCTTCAGGATCACGACTATCATCACGAGGAGTATGTGTGGACGCGCTGTCACAGATCCTGGTATGTGATTGTGGAAGCAACACCATTCAGATCATTAGTAAAGACGGTCACTTCTTATCGATGTTCTCAATTATAAACAACATGTTTGTATCCGGGGGTCTGGAATATGATAAAAAGAATCACCTTCTCTTGGTTGGAACAACAGATTATAACAGCGTAGTTTGTGTATACAGATACATACAGAGAAAGGACTATTTTACTGACGATTTTTCATAACTTGCTCACAAGTGATTTTGATCTTGTAGTAGATAATATACAAGAAATAATTAAATGTATCGAATAATGATAATACCAATGGTTCTTGTTTTTCTAAAGAGCATGTCTACGAAAAAACCATGCAAAGGGTTATGGGAGCAAGGTTCTCTAATCAACTTCATGTTTTGTGAGTATATTTCTTGTATGATATGAAATTTTTTGCCACAATTTTTTTTTTCAGTGTGGTCTCACTTAAGGTGTAAATCGACACTGTTACTAAAATAGAATTACTGGTCCTTACAAAGGGTAAAAACAAGAATATTTTAGGAATTTCATCTTTTCTAGCCAAGGGTTTTCGGTCCACCCAGCTACCCATAAACCCTTGACAGATCTCATTACGAAAACACGGTGATGCGATTTATTCTATGATTGGTTGCAGGTTCGACTCACTGAGCCAATCGCAGCGCTTGTATCAAACTCTTGTAAACAAATATGGCTGCGCCCATAGAAATTTGTCGTGTATGTAGTTGCGAATTTCCAAAAAAGAACAGACAAGTTATTTTTGGTGAGACTTTTGGTGTTTTCAATCAGTTGACACAAGTCCTCGATTATAGTGCCTCTCGATGGTCTTTCGAAATATGTCTGCGGATTTTGTTTTACAAAGCTTAATAAACTGTACAAAATTGACATGGATTTGATACATAAAATGGACTCTCTAAGAAGGGAAAAAAACGAGGTCCTGGGAATTCTTAGGGGAAAACACAAACAGTCGTTACAAACCAATATGATTAGAACCCCAAAGGCTCACGAAAAAATACTACAGTGCATTCGCCAACACCCCGGAAAAAAGAACAAACAGAACATGCAGAAGAGTGCAGGGCTATGCAAATCAACAATTCAGAAGTAAATCCACAAAGTAAACACACACAAAAAAAAAGTTAGATCAGCAAGATATGAAAAGACTTTACTTGCCTCCAGAGAAAGCTTCCGTTGACACTCAAAGACCAATTACTATAAAGTCCTTCACACCTTGTAAACTCAAGGTAACCGTTTGGTATCATGTAACAGTAGACAACTTAGATATAGATTTATAATGTTATGTTACAAAGAAAAACTATTTCCTGCAGTTGAGTTTTGAATAACCTAGAATGTTAAGATTTATTATAATGAGTAGATCAATCACTTTATTGTACATGATATATAATTTCATAACTTTCTTTTGTAATCAATGGTAATTGTATATTTATTTGAATGCATAAAAATATCCAGTATACTTTTCCTTTAAAAAAACTATCATGATTTTACAGGTTGTGTTCAAAACAAAGAAAACAGAGAAAGTAAGAACAAAACTGGTAAGATATTGTCCATTAAGTGCCATTGTTAGAGGTTTAACCATTCACAATGCACCAAAGAGAACAGCCAGGGCTATCTACAAATCACATCTAAAAGAAGTAATCAACAACCAAATCATGAAGGAACTAAAGGAAAAAATTGGGAAACCATTTTATGCACCACATTATGCAGGTCCTTGTCAAGTATGTGGACAATCTTAATAAGAACAAGTCATGTATTTAAGGAATGAAGCTTATTTCAACTTATGTTATCCGATATAACATAACTTGGGGCAGTTTACGCTTTATAAACCGCAAAGCGGTTTATAAAAAAGCGTAAACTGCCCCATGTTTTATTATATCGGATAACATAAGTTGCAATTAGCTTCATTCCTTATAATTTAATTCTAATGTAGACAATGAGTCAATATTTCCTCCGGAAAAAGACTTCATTATTTAGCATTATTTTAAAAGTAACGTCAAGCGGAGTAATACATTTTTGACGTTACTCATTGTGACGTAGGCAAGTTATGTTATCCAAAATATTATATGTTCCTCTGAATGATTCAGTCAATGAAATTGTTTGATACAAGTGAAATTAAATTATTCCACAATACATAAATCATCCTCACCTGAACAAGAGTGGTAGAAAATCTGACTATGCCATAATTGACCTCTTACACAAAAACGAGAATAAGTTGTCAGAAATGATTGATATACTACAATATATTCATGAAAAATGTACTGCAAGGTCAGATTTAGATAATGATACCCCTTTAAACCTATAGAAGAGGGTATTTGGAGGTGATGTATTAACTTGAGAGAGCATATGGTGCCCAATTATCACTTCACAATGGTATGACAAAATTCAGTAAACTTCACTGTGTCATTCACCGAACCGAAGGGTTACATAGGATAATAAATCTACTACTGGTATCAGCCTGTTTGGTTTAGTTCCAGTTACTGCATTTATAAAAGGCATGCCTTCTTTATTCATTCAGCTGAGAAACAGCCCCTATCCAGTTACTTTTAGCTTATGGGGATATATATGACTTTTTTTTTTATTTGCTTTGCATTTCTTCTAGCTATGTAGATAGTTTTTATGACAGTTTAATGTTTATTGTTTATCACTAACTCATTAACTCATTGTTGTTTTGTTAGACAACTACATATACAAAGTCAAAGCATTTTTAAGAAGAATATTTTAGAGAAATTATTGGTAATACAGAAATAATGCAATGTTTTATACTTTGTTTGAAGTAAATTCAGTCTTATCAAATTTTATTCAGAATTTGCATTTTTATTATTTACATCATATTTGTCACATTAATTGTTGAATTAAATGGCATTGGATATTTTATAATAGCATATTATAGAAATTAATTTTTTAAAAATATTTTACAGTTCATCTATCAACAGTTCTACAAAGTGTCATCTGCAGGAGAGCCAGGTACACTGAGTCACCTGAGAAATACAGTAGGGAGAATCGATGTACATGGTCCTGAAGAAGTTATCCAAAAGTACAAGTTGTAAAATAATTCTAAAATTTCTTTTACTACTCTGTTTTTAATGTGTAAAATTAAATTGATATTAATTAGCATGTATTGTAGATCTCATTATGCTTGGATGGATGACTGCTTGGATTCCTTCATTGTGGGTGCTTACATGCATTTAATGGGGATCAAGGATCTGCAAGATGCACCTATTAGCCACCAGCCTCTGTTCCATCTTCTTTCCGATCAGTAGAAGTACACATATATCCATGGAATAGCAAAGGATATTCTTGATAAATATGTGAAGATTGCTGATGGTACAATAAACTGAATATCTTTCAATTACTTAACATTTCAATTATACTTATTAAATATTTGTTTGCTGGTTTTTCTGCAGATGCATACAAGATAATTTTTTTTCCTAAGAAAAAGTTGAGTAAAATAAAATTGAGGTTTAGGAAATTGCTGTAGAGTGTTTTAACTCATCTTTCTTTTTAATTATAATAGATATCAATGACATCAGAGAGAAAACATGCGCACTTGATTCAGAAGCAAATCAAAAAAGGACCTCTTTGATAATAATGAGATGAAGTATATGTGCCCAAATTGTGATAAGCAGTACAAAACTAGTGTTGGAATAAAGAGACATTTGAAAAATGTACATAAACTCTCTTTTGATCATGAAGATCAACCACCAACATCTAAAAGGGACCATATGGCAATATACAGAGCATCATTTATGAAATGTGCATTGCTTCTTCGAGACACAAATGATGCATATAAAATGGGAGATGGGAACAGAGTGACAATCAATGCGAAATTTCAGATGCTTCTCTCTCGTGTCGGAAAACACAAAAAGTATCAATTATGGCTGTTTAGGTATTTGGCCTACATCAATTGCATCTTATCGCCAAAATTGGCCTATGAGTATAAGTGGAATTGCTCTACAAATTTACAAGGGTGTATGGGAAAACATTCCAAATGACAATTTGTTAGAAATTATGGTCCAAACTGTGAAGAAAAAATTTACTCCCAAGGAGCCAATGCAGCCTATGCCAGTGTTCAGAAGGCTGCACTCACAAATCAAATTCAAGAAGAAATTAAGGAGAATTTGCAAACACAATGCAACAAGAAAAAATCGGGATCAAGAAGGCCTGAAGCAAATAAAATCTCTGACATTTTGGAAATGGTGACTAAACTGAACAATGCCAAAATGTTCGATTACATTCCTGGCAGAGAATTTTTTTATTTCCCAGGTTTTATGGACTTTTTCTCTCGCATTAAATTAAAGTTGTTGATTTGCATGCTTAGATTACAGAAAATAGAGAGTGACTGTCTTATGAAGTGCTCAATTAGAATTGTATTCAAGATTATTTAATGACTAGAGCACTGTTATCTGTTGCTAGTGTTTTAAAGAGACTGTTCAATATTTATTAGTGTCATTTCTATATTCGATGGACTTGAAATATGTACATGTATATGCTTGTTTGAAAGCTATGCCGTGTATTTGAAGTCTAATACTTTATTAAAAAATGATAAACATGTTTCTTTTTTAATTCAGAAAGTTGGTCATATGATTAAGCTTTAAGGACAGATGAGACGTTACTTAATAACAGATAAAATTTTCCTAGAGTTTTGTCATGGAAGTATTGCTACTTAAACACGTTTACTCACAAAAAAAATTGAGGTACCTTACCAGGCATTTCTGCAAGATACCAGGGGTAGTATTTCTTATATAATCCTTTGGGGAAGAAAAATAATTTTACAATTTCAAATATTTAAGTCTTTGGATTTTCAAAAATCGCTTAGAAACTGGTTTAGAAATCAGAATGTTATTAAAAGTTTGAATATTTTTCATACATTACGAAAATATACAAAACAGATTTTGAGGAACGTCTCGTCTGACCTTAAAAGGTCATATAGTTTAAGGCTTAATGTCCAATGTTCAGTCATATAAAATTTTACTTTGAGCTAATAATTTTCCTATTAATAATATCTTCAATTAAAACCGCATACAATTTTAGCATACCCTGTATTGCAAAAAGCTATATTGGCCTTTTATATTTGATATAGGAATATTTAATATTTATGATCCCAATGAGAGTTGTCTCTGTTTTCAAAGGACAATGAACCTTAAAATTGGTCAAAGAAAAAACCTTTTTCGAAGATTTTTTTGTCAAAAGGACAAAGCTAATCA